AACAGCTGCAGTGGTAACATTCATCGTTAAACACGCTTCTTTGTTCGATGTGGCTGGTTAAAATAACATTTGTTAGCAGCGCATTGAGATCAATTCACGTGGACGTATTGTTGATAAAATCCTATCTTATTATGTTCCACCTAGCGATACGGTGTTTTTAGGGACGAAACATTTATTTTCATTAGCTACCAAGCATATTCTTGTCGGATACAAAACAATAAAAAAATTCCAAAAAAAAAAAAGGAAAGAGAGAGAGAGAAGTTAGAATTTGTTCATTATTATGAAAATTGTACAGTCGGAATGGAACTCCATTCTTGGCTCGACCATTTCCAGTTACGGTTACTGAGCTTAAAAGCGTTGAAATTTTTAAAAGCTTTTAGATACTTAGTTCCCATGATATTTACAATGAATAAGATATATGGCCTTGAGGTTATCAGTTTATCCAAGAGACATATTATTTGAGTCTGGAAAAAAGGAAAGAAAAACACCGCAACAAGGCTTTACGTCGTAAAAACACCATTATCTCTTTTGTTATTTCTTCAGTTTAGTTTTGTAAAGCTTTTCAAACAAGCTCAAATAAGACATAAAAGCATTTGTGTCCATTTGCACTTAGGATCTGTTGTCGTTTTTAATGACGTTTTGTTAATTAGCGCTTGTGCAACGTTCCGGTTGAAATTACCAAGGGCAATGCGGAACTATGGCTAATGGCAAGTTAATTAAAAGTACGGAATATCCATTTTTGTGTTCGAACTCCCTTAAACTTTGTGGCAAAAACGATGAATTTTACAAGCCTATTTTGTAGAAGCGCGCGGTGTCTTTCCTCTACAACGTTTGTTACACCTTCGTGTTTTTAAGAGGGCAATGGAAATTTTATTTGCCATAGCACGAACAAATAACATGGTCTTGTTCTCGTCCATTAATATATGCTGTCCGCAGCTGTGTTGTGCTTTTTACTAATTTGCATGCAAACGAATATCACGGACGAGTTGTTAATTAATAGGGGTTTTAAGTGCCATGTGTAGAGGGCCCAGTCGACATGTCATCAGACCAGTTTGCGAATGAAGTGTCGTAAAAACGCCTTTTAATAGCCAATGAATAAGAATAAGCCAGCTTGGATCCTTGGCGCCATTTTGATATCATCACGTTTGAGCGCGCATTGTGGCTCAACGTTCCCTGAAGTGACTCTTAATACGTTCCTCTCGCCCGTGCTACAAGTTTAATAGGAAAATAACGAAAGTCAACTCGAAGAGACATAGAAGATATGCAGAAGCTCACCGAAGGTAGGTTTAAAACCTGATCCGAAAAAACGCTAAACTAATCGAATCCTCGGTACAGAATTGATATCGTCAGGACTGCGACTCTAGTTCCAACCTTCTTAGCTAAATATTGACACAATTTGACAGAGCCGTTTATCGTTTTTATTTCTTTTATTTCACACTCGTTTGTTGAATCGATTTGTTACAAAGAAACAAAACACGAAATACGGCTGCCCTACAAGAATGATCTAGCATAGATTGCCATTAAATTTTCGTAATAATGATTTTCATAGCCTACATGGTATTAAAATCCTATTAAACAGTCATCGAACCGAGGAAGACTCCTTAAAATGCACTGAATCTTAAAACCGCGGGAATTTTTTCGCAGGTTTTTACAGCATGACTGGTGTTTTCACCCGATATTCATCATCAGCTGTCGACACATCGTAAGAAAGTAGTTAAGACTTTGGGATGGAATTTTCAATAAAAACATAAGCCTGCAAATGTAATACGCTGCTTTATTAGCCTCCTAGAGCAAATTAGAGACTCTCGAAAATCAACAAGATCGAAGACTCGAGAACAGTCCGCGTTGTTGCTAGCAACCCGATAAGAATTTCCGCGCCGGTGTAGGCGCACAGTTCACTACTAAAGAAGTTGCCACTTTTGATATAAGTATTGCGGTGACGATTGTAGTGAAAAGCTTTTCACATTAACCATGCCAACACCACGGCTGAACACCATGGCGAAACTATAACTATATCGCCTTGTGCGCTCGCTAAGCCATTAACTCAAGATCCATTAAGGCGGTTGAATGTCGAGTTAATTGGAAAAACTTCAGCCTAAGGGGCACCACATTTATTTTCTTTGACGTATGAAGCAGTCATAATGGGTCTTTTAACAACCGGAGAGTAGACACTTCTAAGAAAATTGCTTTGGGAGATCTTTAAGGGCCCTTGGCCTCACTTTCTGACGTGTAAGTGTGATGTGTATCTCATCGTTACGTTCTCCCATTGGCTCGAGAACAAAAGGAACGTTAACACAACAAGCTTCATTAATGTGTTCCTACCAACGATACTCGCCACAGAGTGTTGTTATATTTTGAAAGGAAAATTCCGCCTTTGAGGAGTCACTTCATAGTCTTGAAAATACAAAAAACACAAAAAAATTACAACAATTTTAATCGTGCAGTGTAACTTGGAAGTGCCTAGTCTAGTGCACGTAAATGGAAATGAGTGGCTTTGGTGCTGAGAGATGGTTAAACAAGCCCGTTTTTTTTTTTTAAAGAATGTGATCCTTTAAAACCCGAAAATATCATTCTCCGGCTGATTTCTCTTCCTGAATTTTACAAGAAAAATAAGCGGAAACATAATTAAGTAGTTAAGCTCTAGCTAATGGATTTTCTTGGCGCATTTCACGAGCAGGTAATTTCTCACTGGCGCTCTAATTGCTTTGCCATTATTTCTTAAGCTATTTGTAGGTAAAAACTCCCAAGGATACAGTGTGCGATTAAATTTCTCTAATGGCTAAAGAAACAATAAGAGTCCATTATACCTCAGCCACACCACAGCCTTCATACTCAGAACACCTATTAACTAGTAATTACTGAAACTTCAAATTTACACCAATCACAAGCGTTCAACGCACAATTAGTTTCCTCTGTGTTCTCGAGCAATAAAGACGGTATTTACACTTTCTAAAGACTTAATTATTTATGTAAATACTACTTCCAAAAGCTTGCACTTTGCGTTAGCAAGCCAAGATTGACGTGAGAGTTTGCCAGGGGGAAATTTTTGGGGAGCGAACTAGACTCGAAGCCAAATCGCCTCAAGATGTACTGTTAATGGCCGTTCGTGTACACAAACGCGCATGTTCCAATTGAGCCCTAGGATTAGCATCACCGGTGATGTCTTAGGCACGTGCCACGGATTTCATTGTTTATACAAGAATTCAATTAAAATTTCGACGCAGTGGGAACTTCACGACACCCGTTGTGTTAATTTAAAAACGAAAATTCGATCGATTATGCTTCTAACACAGCCTATAAGACCCCTTGTGAAAAACATTCATGGCCTGAGGTCGAGCTATGGACTTACGGCAATAGTAGCGAGAGGTGAAATCATTGGGACCGTGAAGAAACACCGAGTCATCAATTTACTAATGAACGGACGACCTTCGTCGTCTCATAGATAGAGGATTCAGATTATCGATGAACATCCATTTGTTACTACCGGGTTGGACAAACGCACTCAGAGATGTAGAAAGGTTTTAGTTTTAAGCCCACAGGAATTTTAAGATTATGGAGTTTTTTGCCAATCGTGGACACCACGTAATGAAACCATGCTATGTTAATCTGGAATGTTTTTGTTTTTACAGTTGTCAAAAGGGGCTCGTTCATGTCTTAATTTGGCGAGGTCTTCTTTTATAGTCACGTTTTTTAATTAAGAAAGTGCTTAACTCTCAAAGATAATGAAGACCGGCTAAAAGGCAGTCGGTTGTATAGGCTAAGTGGCCCACACAACAAGGAAACTAGAGCTAAACTCTTTATTAACGAAGAGTATATTGTCTCTCCTCAGTCACATTCATTTCACATGATAAATTACGCACAAGAACTCGTGGGAACGTGCCGGAGCTAATTGTGTCGAAAATGAGAGAAGGAAGGAAGAAATAAATGAGATAACAGATCAGAAACACGAACGATAAGCTCCTGTTGGCGTGAAAGTCGAGAAATTTGTCAGATAAATGACACCCGGCAAACCGGGTGGAACCAAAACGGAACTTTTAATAAACGTGGTTGGCCCATCCATTTGAAATAGGTACACATAAGAAAAAGGCTAGTAATAAAGAAGGGCTAGAAACGTCTAGCTGTGTATACCAACGCGGCCCAAAAATTTAATAACTCGGATGGAACCCTGATGTTTTCGGCTTTCTATGAGAGATACATCTCCATTCTGTCCCCCACTGTGAGCGCGCTTTATTGCAATAAACCATCACAAGCCAATTTGCCATAATCTTATCGGCCACAAGAACATGTGGCAAGAGCCTGGTGTGGCGTACGAGCTTGAAGAAATCGATCTTGTCTGTGTTATTTCCCAGAGCAAGATTGCAGGGGTCTTCGCACGACAATCCTTAATCTAATTTCCTTTTAGTACCGTCAGACGCATGCGTAAGACACTTCTATTTAATTTACTACAAAAACGCAATAATGGGTTCTTCAGAGCGAGCAAACACTTCAATTGCTTTAATAATTAGGCAGCGCATCATATTAGTGGTAAATGAATAGCACCATGATTCCTTCGGGCTATATTGGTCAACGTCGCCACAATTCGTTGGAGTGCTTCGTATTTGCTTGTGATTGGCCGAGCCGAAGTTGTTTAATTTGCCTTTAGACAGATGTTCGGCAGGGTATTCCTTGTCAGTTTGTTAATTGCATTCCGTTTACATGCAATTGTATTCGTAACAAATGACCCTTTCAAGTGATTCGGGACTTAAATAAATTGCTTTCCTGGAGAAGAATGGAAAAATGTATTTGAGTATTGCTTTAGCGACATCCGATCTAGGCTGCTAATATGTTGCGCGAATGAAGCATGGTAATATCTACTCCTAATTTTTGACGGAATTTTGCCAGCAGGGAGCGCAACAAACAAGAGAAAAATTCATTACTTTCTCGCCACGTTCTGAATAACAAGTGCTTCCCCGCAAAAAAAACCACAAGAGCTATAATTACAACCAATCACGTGACTTAATTAAACTTCGAAAACTAAACCGTATCGTGTTGGTAATTACTGCAAGCGATACACGGGGTGTAGAAATGACTTAACTGCTGTCTTATTAAAGCCAGTGACCAATCAGGAGCGCTTGTGCCGTGCTCGTAATGGCAACATCTCTCAGATGATGACAACTAATTGTGTCTTGGTCATTTAGGGTTTGGAGCTGATTTGATGTTGAATTGATTAGGCTTAATTCCCTGTCAGATGATGAATGTTTTGAATAACGTACACTGTTACCCGAGTTGTTTTAACAAACAACGACCCCTGGCTAATTCGGACTCAGTGTCACAAAGGCTAACAACGCAACCACACTAAGGGACGGCTCTGCCGAAATTTCCGTCGCCGAGTAAAATGGACAACACGAACCCAAACAACAGTGAGTTCAAATATTTTATGCGCGGTTGAATTAGAACGTGTTCAATGCTCCGACAACGCGCAAGCGAGCTTTCGAAAACGCAAATTAAAATTGTATCCTCGTGTAGAGTACGACTAGAGTGCAGGAAAGCGAGTGTGAAATACGGCGCTGGTCAAAATTTTTCTTCGTGTCAATAACATCGTGTTTATATTCTTCGTTTCAGATCGTTGCCTTCAGGGTGGAATAAGAAGTTGTGGGGGATGCGGAGAAAAAATTTTGGATCGATTTCTTTTGCTCGCCTTGGATCAGTACTGGCATGTAAACTGCCTGAAATGTTCGTGCTGCAACGTGAGTTTGGGAGATGTGGGATCGTCTTGTTATGCCAAAGGCGGAATGATCTTGTGTAAAAACGACTACGTAAAGTAAGCGAATTATTTCTTTTATTCATTCTCGTTTCAAATAGAATTTGTAATGTTATTGCTTCAGCGACGCGGGTTAAGTTTGTTTAAGGGGTATTTTTTTATTTTGTGTGTGACAACCTCATCATGTAATGATCTATTTTGTTCCTTTAAATTTGCCGTGGAGAAGTTGTGTATGAAACGACTGCTTTGAAGCCCAGCAATATTTATGTCGCTGCTTTCCGCGTCGAAAGCCGCCGTCTATTTGTCTCAGTTTTTCATGCGCTATACACTTTCCCTCGTGTTTTGAAATTCTTTCTTAAGTGGCCTTTATCTTCTATTATATATATTTTTTTCTCTCCATTATTTCTTCCCTGTGTCACCGGTGGGATTTTGCATACATTTTAGCCAATGTAATATTTCGTCCATTATGAAAGTGCAATTAATAACGTAGATTATAAAGGCCAGAGAGAATACCCGGTATTAGTAGCTGCAGCTAACCCCAAAACTCATTAGCGTGGTAATATTTCACCTTCGAAAGGCGATTTATTGCGTTTGTTTCCCTAATTCGCAACGCCGTGGCAAATTTGCTGAGATCCTCCGAAATGGGCGCACAAAAGGCAGCCTATTTCATTTGACGTGTATTTTTTCATTTTAATAAACAAGATTTTTAATATACCATGCTCGGAAAGTTAACATGTCTACTGTATTAAAGGCGACAAACTGAATGGCCCCGTGAAGAACAATTTATCGCTATTCCAAATATTGGCTTTATACGCTTTTATCTCTAATTACTTAGAACATATTAAATCCTGAGTTATCAGATCCGCGCTGCGATCTCATTTGGCATTTGCCCTTATTGCTTTTCAGGTTGTATGGCTCAAGCGGAGCATGCGCCGTGTGCGCTAAGTTGATTCCCGCCACCGAGTTTGTTATGAAGGTTTTGGGAAAAGTTTACCACATCGACTGCTTTAATTGCACAACTTGTCATAACCCACTAGTGGCCGGTGACCGGTTTCACGTTGTCAACGGGAGGCTGTTCTGTGAGAATGACGACCCGAGACTACTAAAACAACAACTCCACGCACCAAAACAAACGGTGAGGTAACCTCTTTGAGCCCCCAAACGTCTGTCAAAATAAGACTTCAATAAATTTCATTCCTTGGATAACACTTATTTGGTTTTAATATCTGCGACCTTTTGCCTAAGCTAATATTAAGTCATCAATTTTTGACATTTCATTTGGCTATTTTCGTGAAAGGAAACACGTTTTTAATTTTCCACTGTATTGTCGTATTGCTTTTTACCGTGCTATTCAGCCCCGAGTACACGGATATTCGAGCAATATAAACATCACGCCGACCGCACTTGTGCGTGGAGATTTATTTTCTTCTCCGCTCATATATCGAGTTCCTTCCCCGACTGGGAAAAGGATACGGAGAAGACAATTTACTCGTCATTTTCGGAAGAGCAATTTGCATCCGTGAATACAGCGCTCAGATTATGATCTCTGTTTCACCCTGAGGCCGAGCGATAAGACAAAGGAGGACACTTTTTAATACGAATTAATTAAGACTTTAAATTGGTTCTGCTGCCTTGCCGATAAGATATGGCAAAATATTCAACAAAAAGCGTTGATTAATACAACTGTTAAAACATCGCGAACAATGGCCGGAATTGCGCGAAGAAAACTCCATCGATTTCATTTCACATCTAAATGGGCTTAAGTAATTCTATGCCCCTGCTCTCAGAAAACCTTCCTTGCACTTTATGGCCACAGGAAATAATTAATGGACATTTTAAGATCCTTTTCGCGGGCTGCTTTTAACCGAAATTGGACTCCAACTCGCGTCATAAATAATTTTAAGAAAACTGATCACTCATGATTTTTCACAGTTCAATCGACTGTCAAGCAAATCTTGACGTTTCAACGTTAAAAGCTTTGTTTTACATATGGTGGTGTGACTGGTATAACTGAGAGGGGATTTTTTTTTATTTCTATTAATGAAAAGAAGAATCCCAATTTTCTCTATCTTAGATATGAAGTTTCATTTTAGCTTGACTGCATGTCGACAAAAGCGGCTTACAAAGTACGTGAATAGTGTTTTTATTCCTAATTGGAAAAAGCAGAATTAATGATTCGAAACGGAACCATAGAGAAGAAAACAGTCAATGAAGCTGATTAAAAAAACTAAAATTTACTATAGTGTAATTGAGTAAAATGAAAGTGAAAGAAGTAAATTATCCTAGCTCATAAGAACGCCGCCCTGTTAGATGAAGTTTTTATCCTTATAGCCAGCGCTTATCTCTTATTATAAAATGATGAAACCACAAAGTGAAAATTGAGTTCCTTATTTATGAAAAACTTCTTTCTTCTACGATAACGCACCTTTTGGTTCCCAACACAAAATTAAATTAAAATTTTCTTTGTAAAATGAGCAAAGTATAATGATTTCCTGTTTATTGCGCGGACCTCTTTGTAGTAAATGTTTTAATTTAAAAATTTGTTGAATAAGTCGAATTTGGCTTTTGCGGTTCTGCGCAGAGGAAAAGAAAAAGTTTTTAAATTAATTCTTAGACTGAAGTCAATTATCGTACTTCTTTAGTCTTGTAGCCCTACAAAAAAAATATTTTCTCATTTGTCATTTAAATACAAGTTTGAGTCCGCCATTCTGGCGAATATTTAGTCTTAAAGTATCAAAATATTGAAAAAAAATTTTTATACTCATGTGTATGGTCTTAGGCTTAAACAAAAAGGTTTCGAAGAAGTAACTCAAACAGTAGTCTTCGAATGGAAAGCATGACAACTTGTCGGGCAAAATTTCTGCTAAATCGTAACCTTCTATCAATAATACCCATTAAATCTGATCAGGAAATCTGAAACATTGGAGTAAGAAATGAATTCTTCTAGATTTCTCTTTTTTCTATTTTTAACTCACTTTTTAATTGTAATAGTTGCTCTAAGCGATTTAATGGCTAGTGTTGATTGATGTAGTCGTAATTTCCTTACATTTATTTTTTATACTATTCTTTCTCAGGTATGTTAATGGAAAGCGACGGATTCGCATGTGATTAGCTTCAAAAAATGACAAAATTAGAAGGTTTTTGTCTGGGCCTGGACGAGGGATAGACGAGTCCTGTTCCCGTGATAACTTTGAAGCCTCTAATGGAAAATTGAAAGTTCCCCCAGGCAGACACCCCAAAAGGGTCATTTGAACACTACAATATAAATGAATCCTCCACGGTGGCTAATTAGTGTAGTTTATTTAGCTTTGGATGTCGAAATGGAAGTAGCAAAGCCATTGCTGAACGAAAGGATTATTTCGTCTAAGTGGCCTTGGAATAACATGTGTTAAATTTTGAAAGAATGAAAATTCATTTGAAAATGTTGTAGTTTAGCTCGGAATCATACAGCTTTGCAAAGATAAACTGAAAGTAGATTTGCAACGCATCAGTTACGGAGACAAGGGTACGAACTAGAGGAGGAAAAAATGAAAAAAATTGCAATCGTTCTTGAGAATTTATATTTGGAAAGAAAAGAGGAATCATACCTAGATATTCTGATTTCTAATTTAAACAAATTTAGTATTGTACGTAGAATATATTACTAATGCTTGAACAAGAAAAATAATAAACATTGTGAAAATGCATGGCCACATACAAGTGTAGATAAATGGTAAAATGTGTAAAGTTCTTTAAATAAAATTGTAACTCTAAAACCATATTCGTTATGTTTATTTATATAGGGACAAAGAATCTATGTTTTCGGATTAATAAAGCTGGGTTAAATGGTGAAAAACAATTTGCTCGTTTTCTAGGCAAAAGTAATATAAAATAAAGCTCCGTCGATTAATCCAGGACGTGAGTACACAAATTAAAAGTGTACAAAGTGTCGAGCTCGCATGGTAAAAACAAATAAAAGCAACTCAATACATCAGGCAGAATTCTTTTTTGATGGATGTAGCCGCTTGAAAGTTTAATTAATTTTGCCCAGGGACAAATGGCACACAAAAAGGAGTGTTGGTCTTGTTTTGTGTGGTCATTAACGCCGTGCTAATTAACTTTTGTAGTCGTGTTGACATAATGTAAAGCAGCATGCATTCTGGCTAATAATGTGTAATATCCCTCCCTGGTTGTGTCAATAAATATTCGTATCAACAGCCCAAAGCCTAATTAGATTTCACTTCACAATCTGTGGTTTTTAGCAACCTTTAATGAAACGGAACGAAGGTCTTGACGAAAAGCTAGCCAAAATATCTCGAAAACACGCTGATCAAAACTTGTCTTGGTCAGCAAGAACTAAATGCGACAACACTTTTAGAACGTGTCTGAGAATGTATCCGCTCGATAGTTTTCATAACTTCCATATGTAACAGTGGGGCTTCGCAGGGATGAAACAACCAATAAAGAATTTCATAAACTCGGCAAAGAGAACAAAGGAGTGTCTTAAGGATATTACGTATCATAAGAAGTTCACAGGCAGCTGAGCTCACACAGCCGCAAATCTTTTCGCAGTTCTAATCTTTCATAACCTTTCCTCCGAACCCTGTTAACAATGGATTCATTAGGAACACTATGACTGCACAGTAAATACTCTTAGCCGAAGTATAAAAAGCTGTCAGGTTCCATTCACACTTGATGCTGAAAAGACTCGACAGTTTTCTCTTTCATAAGCTCCAAAAAAACACACACCCTGGTAAATGCACTCATCCACTTCATTTTGCCATGGGAACTAACTCTTTTAAGTAATGCTGAAAGTGAATGCCTCTTAGGCTTCCATTATCATTGTTATCAAGTATCGACTCCCTTTTCCTCAAAGTTCCATTCCTCTTTACAGACTTAACAGGTCAGAAGAGCAATTTCAAATCATGCACACTGTCAGATTCGAAACCGTTCTCTCACATTTGCGTCAAAGAAGTTTACAGAGTATCTATAATTTGAAACAATTTGAAACACTTCTTACAAAAAGGCAAAGGCAGTTAAAATCATTTTTAAGCCCTCAACACGGAGACACTCAAGCTACAATGACGAAAATGTTCCTCGAGTAGCAGTGGTGGGTTTAAAGCCACTCTCCAAAATCTTTACACTGTGCATCTCAAAGGTCACTCAAACTTGTCACCCAATTACACAAGTGACAATAATTGAAGGCAACTCCTAACAAAAGAAACAGACCGTTTTACAAGCATCACGTCCGGTTTTACTGTCGCATAACATAACTTTCGACCAAGAAAGAATCTGAACAGATTTGCTCGAAAACGGCTTCCGCTTGCAAAGACACGCCACGTTGGAAACGTGACCCATTCCCTTCTTGTCCAATGTAACATAATATTGAGGTAACTTTTATCGAAAGGAACAGTCCGGTCAACGGGTATTCCACACGGTTTTACAATCATACCTCCCGATTCTTGACCTAAAAACTGAGTGCTTGAACAGATCTGGTCAAAAATGGCTTCCACTTGTATTTAAAGACATAGCATGTTGGGTACGTGAGCCAAAGTTGCTTTTAATCCTATGTTTAATGTTTGTGGGTGCCAGACCACCGGCAGTGTTGTCATCCCTTTCACTCCTGACACTTTGAATTTCCATCGATTTTCCCTACACTGATTCAGGCATGAGATTTTGGACTTGATGGCACTTCCAGGCGGGGGCACGTCCTTTACGAGATTCATTAACCACTGTTATCTAAGAAAGGCATAGGTCTATTAAAAAAATGCTGTGACCTGAACGGTACTGATAATTCACCATACTCGTCCGAATTTTTTCTTGCGAGAGAAGTATTCATATCTCAGTCTACAGCATACCAGAGGTAAAATTGGTGGAGATGACAATTTGTCTCTTAGGTTGTTTGTCACAAGCTGATTGAAACCTCATGAGTATTGTTTGCTGAGGTAAAGAAAAAAAAAAGCGCTAAGTAGAACGAGGACAATTTGAAATGAGGAAGATTAACAGGGATTGTAAACCACAGGCTTAAAAGTAATTTAGCAAAGTGTTTTAAAATAGACTAACCGTGAGGATAGTCTTTTAACACTTAAAACTAGTCACGATTCCTTTGTCCGTTTATTTTTTTTTAATTCAGCGCGGGACAGTCATGTGCCTTCTTATCGCGATTTTATCCCAAAATGATCATTTCTGCAATGGATACCTTTGGCTTATAACTAATAAAAACCAAAGGTTTTATCGTGACAATTTTCGAACAGCTCTTCAATCGTTAAATACTATCTAATTCCTGGAAGCTTGTGAGTGTAAACTAATGTCGTGAAATTTTCTTCATAGGCTCTAAGAGATTGTTACAGTCAATTTCTCACTTTTGACCCTGCTGATGGAGCTCTGTGATCATTCACCTATAAGCCATTGAGTCATATAAGTTTTAAAATGCCCTAAGGGAGAGAGCTCTTTGATTAATGGTTTAAAAAGGAGTTTTTTTTTCAGCAGGCATGAGATCTTACCTACGATCTTTTATTAGAAAAGCTGGCCGCGTTTAGAGCCATTGAGATAAAATATTACACAGTATGGTTGTGTTTTATTATAACCCGAGGCAGTTCGAATTCTAAAGTCTACTACAGTCGTCTTACTTCAAAGGGTAAGATTGCCTTTAGTCCATGAACGTGACTTATTGACGCTGATCGCTATACTGTTCATCTTAAAGGTATCCCATTACAAGAAAATGTAGACACACTAAAAAGCTTTTAAGCAAGCATTCGTTGCAACTGCAAAGTAGGAAATAGTTCCTCTTTTAAAACCTATCAGTTTTCTACCAATACTGTAAATTGAATGACCCATAAACCTGATAGCTGATACCCTGTGCAAATGTGAAAAGCATCCATCATCCTGTTACGATCAGCTTTGTCTTAAGTGTCTTGCGGAAATAATGTATAACCTGGCTCACGAACAAGTTTTCTGTTGCTTAGTGGTGCATGGAGCGTCGTACAGAGAAATCCGTAGGTCTGGGGTTCGAATCCTCGTGGGGCCTGCCTATGAATTTTCCTGCGCTCCGCGCTCGTGCCGTATGGGGAAATCTATAGACAACCGAACTCAAAATTTGCCTTTTTTTCAATTTATTGATTGCAGTAATTAACCGAAATATGGATAAGGGTTCCATAACCGGTTGGTTGATATCGCTGTAGATTAATTAATTTATTGCACCGGAGTGAGCCAATCAGCACAAAAACTGAGGAAATCCTAATCATACTCGCGTGAAATTACTGCTGCCCACAAATGTTGCAAAATCTCATCTTTAGCCTTCTCAGGAAAAGCTTTCAATAGCGTAACTTCAAAGGATTTAAGCCACTCATTTGAGACATTCATTCACCCCATGAGAAAATAATCCTCATTCTCACTGCAAGGACGTTTGAGGTTCAATTTGGAGGCACGTACTGAAAATATCATGCAACTCACCATAACTAATGTTATTGGAGACATTAAAGACGGAGATAGTGTACATTAAGAGCCGTTTACATGAATCAGGATATAGCAAGAAACCCCAAACTATAACAATGTCCGCATTTTTTTTCAGAACTAAACTTACATTTTATCCGCTAAAACAACACATGGCTAAATGGAATTTCGAAGGATAATGGAATAAAAGGCGCTTGTTTGGATTCTGGTGTAAATTTACTGGATAGTTTACTGTTTAGTGGTTTTAATTTTCAGTCATCAATTTGCAGAAGAGTCTATTATCAGTATAGTCGGCGACGATAAGTTTTGCGCCAAGAACTCTCCGTCCATTTCGCCATTGAAATTTCCTTTTTAGTACTCTTTTAATTGATTAACATCCGGCCACAAGTGCTGAGGCAAATCTCCGTCTCTGCGAAGTTGCCATCTCGTCTAACCATCATGATTATTATCATATCATGCAGATGCCCCCTAAAAATCCCTCATGACCTCAAATTGAAGAGGAAAAGAGTCTTAGGAAATAAAATATGCAAGAATGAATGAGTCACAGCAGGACATTTTCATCTGGGAGATATGAAAATCACACTGAGGACGCAACCTAATTAAAAGAAACTGTTATTATTTCAAGAAATCTTTGGCTAATGTATCCATGAAGGAGTTGATAAAAGACAAGATATGGACACCATTCCGGAGCATATTCGGTTACAAATCCATAACTAGGTTTTTATACTTTAAAATCCCTCCTGCGTCAACGTTGAAATAGATATAATCTTCATAAGGACTCTCTGAATCTTTCTTGGTATCCACCGACCCATGAAAAACAAAAACATTGTAACTTTTCCGTTAATGGACTTAGAAGATAAATCTGATTAGGTGACTAATCTTTGGCGAGGATTGCCCCAATCGTGACCGTGGCCACAAAATTGCACACGATATACATAGCCATAGACATCAGAAAATAAACATCTGGTTGAAATCAAAAGTTTGCAAAAACACCATTTGGTCGTAATTGCACAAGCTTCTATACTATCGCCCGAAACGTAGACATCTAATATTAACCGCGAAAACGTGTCTTCAACACTCCCCCATTTCGATAAAATAGCCTATGCACATCTTCTAAATGGTTTCGTTTTCTTTTTAAACGCCGATGTGTCAGAAGTTGATACTGAAAAATGAAAAGAAAGCTGTTCTAAATGTTTTATCTTGTCTTTTCATTCTCTCTCCTAAAACCCTCCCCTCCCCTCCCCCCCCCACCACCTTCTCCCTTTTTCTTTACGCGTTGATTCACAGGTTCTTTTAGAGACTGTCAAGGCTTTTTATAGCATCAAATACCTTGTAAGAAAATTCAAAAATGAGGAGAAAACTAAAAGATCAGATGGCATTACTTCCACACAGAAGTTTTTGGGTGCTTATTATCGACTGAGAAATCACTCAGTCTTATTATTTTAAATTTTCCATGTTCTGAAAGTAATTTTAGTGATAAGAATTTACTTGTGTCTATCGACTAACCTCCAAGCTTTTGTTAAGAAAAAAAGTATCAGAAGCGGTTTAAAAATTAAAAAAATGGATTGAAAATGCAAGGTAGGATTTTATATCACTGGTCTTCAAAATTGTTTTTAATTTTGATCTACCTTCACGTTAAATTTAGACATTGTAGCTAACAACCAATTAATTCATCCTGAAAAAAACGAACATTCAAAAAATAATTTGATTGATAGTACTTGTAGCAATATATATATGTATTATGTATATCATATATATATGATACATAAGTTAAAGAATTAAAGAGGACGCATCGATTCTCTGTGACTCTGAGTTTCGTGCATAAGCGCTCGTCAGACAGAATTTTCTGAAAGTTCTGTCTAACGAGCGCTAATGCGCGAAACTTAGAGTCACAGAGAATCGATGCGTCCTCTTTAATTCTTAAACTTATGTATACTTAGCTCTGCTACCACAGCATTGAGCAAAACATATATATATATATATATATATATATATATATGAAACAATTTCCTCATCTGAAGAAATACTCCTTAACAGAAATACGTTTATTTTGGTCGATAGTACATAGATACATAGATTTGGTCTTAGTTCAGACACATGTACCAGGGAAACATTTTTTTTAATCAAAGAAAGGATGTATAATTCCTAGAGATAAATTTATTCATAATATTGGGTCAACAATGAAGATTCATATTTCAAACTCGTATGTAGTAGAGGAACAGTTTTCTATTTATGGGGAAAGTTAATTTACAAAAATACCTTTATTAATAGCGTTTGCAGAAGCGTTTGACTCAAAATGCCGCTGTGTTATACTGTTGCTGCTCCAAAGAATATTAATCAAAAGTTCATTTTCATTAAAGTCATTATTTGGCCACAATACTCGCCAACAGAGACGGTCAATAAACCTGTAGAACATACACTGCAAACAATAACATGTCAAAAACGCAGGGTGACCGTTGTTAGTACAGTTGGGAAGAAGTCACAGGAAACATGACCGAATGAGACGACATGTTTAGAAAGGCTGAATGCGATAGAAACACCATTTCTCTCAGCTACAATCACACAAACCAGGTGTATTTGCACTGAACCAGCACTTCGCAAATAACTAAAGAACTCAAAATAAGTTATTTTTTATGTGATAATGATTTTCTGTAAATCTTCAATGAAAGGAATATCAGAAGAGAAAAGTAAATAAAAAAAAAACGTTGAACCTCTTTGGGAGTGCAAAATTTTTGGGTGGAAACTGACTGGATTGTTCTTACACTTGGTACAAATTTCCTCGGGAGAATTTCATTGACAAAGAATTTGCCTAATGGTCGAAAATGAACACTTCCATCACATGTTTTTGCAGTTTACACTTAATCTTTTTGTTTTTTGTATTTTTTCCAATGCATGTTGAATTATCACGATGCTTTCGGAGAATATGATCTTTGGGTTTCAGCATTTCATAGCAATATTTCAGTTCATCAGGGTTGCACGCGATACAATCTTTTTCAAATAAATCCATTCCCTTTGAGATATAAAAATATGGAACAAAAGTTTTTTCTGGGCATAAACATCACAGTGCCACACAAGGGAGTCTTCCGAACAAATCGAAACTCAGGGTGTAGGGCTACAATTTTTACAGTATTTTAACGAATGTTGAATGAAGAAGATCTCTACGAATATATAATTTGGTTACAAGACCTTATTGTGTGAATTTTCTTTCGTTAAAGGTAATAATTTTTGCTAATGATATCAATGATAAAAGACATCTTTTCGATAACATTCATCTGAACAACAACAGCACCACACTTCATATCTTACTCATGATAATTTTTCAAGAGGATTACAAGCATTAAAATTAGAAATGCTATTGATGAAAAGTCCTAGTTAACAGAACACGCTCTACATATAAAATTGACTTCTAAGTAAATGGAAGTTAAGATAGTTATTGTACTTTTGATCTGTAAATCACCTTCTACATGCTAATAGAAACGTAAAAAATACAATATAAATACAATAAAAAGGCATCAAAAAATCCTAG